CAAAAAATAAAAAACACATTTTTCTTCAATATTTTTCAATTTCTTATTAAAAATTTACTAAAAATCAAAAATTTATATTGATTTTATTATATTGAATTTAGAATATATATCAGAATTTTTTTCTTATATTTTTCTTATCATAATAAAAATTTATAGGTTAAAATTTTCCAAATATACACAATGTATATCGTAAAATTATTAAAAAGAAGAAAGAAAAAAAAAAAATAAGAAAATTTATGCTAAAATAATAATGTGTAGGTACAATAACAAAAAAAAGAACGTCTCCTACATAGAGCTATTCATAAGATATAAGCAATATTTAAAATACATATTATTTCAAAAATTGAATATTTTCCAATTTACGATAAAAATAATTACTTAAATATAATGAAAAACACAAAAACGAATTATGAATATGTAAAGGATATGAAAAATAGAAAAAAAAAATATTAAAAAAATACAAAATATATAATAATTTATCGTAAATAATTATATAGGTATAAAATATTTAATATCCTTTTTAATAATAAACACATTTTAATATTATTATTAATTAATTTTTGTTTATACTAATTATAATTTTTTGTTTATTTTGTATAATAATTACATTGTTTATACAATAATTTAAAAAAAGAATTTTTTTCTTAATTTATTTTTTAAATTTTGAAAAATTTTATTATTATAAATATCAATTTACTGTCATATTTATTTCACCAATATAATATACACATATACAATATATATATATATATATATATATATATATATATATATATATATATATATATATATATATATATATATATAAATATTTTATTACAAGACTTTATTATTTGATTTTAATAATATTTTATAATACTAGTATACAAAAACGAAAACCCCGAATTATTAAATTTACCTTTTATTAATTTTTTGTTTACAAAATTTTATACAATTTTACAATTTAATATTTAATATTCTTTTGAATAAAAATCTTTATAATTTTTATACTTTTTATTATATATATTTTTTATACATATATATATATATATATATATATATACCAAAATTTATCTTTTGTTATCCTTAATTTAATAGAATATTAAAGGGAGAGAAAACCGAAAAGTAAAAGAAAAAAAAAAGATAGACATTCTTTTTGTATGTAGAATATGAAAAAAAAATTTATGAAAATTTATTGCATACAATCGGGCGGTCAATAATAATTTTATTTTTTTTTATTTTTTTTAATTTTCCATATGTTTTCTTTGTTTTTTTTTTCACTTTTACAAAATAATACACATTTATTGAATTACGAATATTGGAAATTTTAAAATTAAAAAATATTTTTTCATTCGAAAAAAAAATTCAATTCAAGAAAAGTAAGATGAAATTAAGACGACAAAAAAAAATTTTTATATTGTATAATTTTTTTTTTTTGTTTTCTTTTTTCTTTTTTTATATTCTTACTTTTTTTTTTGTTTTTGTTTTTGTAATAAAATATACAAAGAACCGCGATTTTATTTTCAAAAATATATGGTTAAGTTAATTGTACAAAATCTCATCCGGGACTGAATGAATAAAAATGAATTATCTGTGCAAAAGGATTCTAATTTGGAATTGGACCAAAATCTCTATATTAAACAAGAACAATAATAATATCAAAACAAAAACAAAAAAAGATTGAAAAGAGAGAAATTTTTAAGATAGTAGAGAAAATGAGAAAATCATTAAAGATGATTTCTAATATAAATTTTTTGTCGAAACAAAAATTCCTTTCGTTAAAAAAAACCCCCTAAAAAAATAAAAAGGATAATTTCTCTTCTTTTTAGAAATAATTGTACATACATCTTAAATATTACTTTTTCCTATTTTAGATTTAAATACACACATACACAAACATGTATGTATAATTTGTTTTGTAAATGTAAAAAGAAAATTTTATAATAGACAATGAATTTTTGATAATATTTGAAAATTTAATTGTATTGATAGACAAACACACATTAATAATAGAATTTTTTCCTACTATATATATTTTTTTATTATTTATTTAAAATACAAAGTAAAAAAAATTTTTAGAATACACAATCAAAAATTATAATGAGACTGTAAGATGGTATAAAAAAAAAAAAACTGTGTATAATAAAAATTATACACACTTAAATAAATGATTTTTAAAGAGGAGAAATAATTGAATAACATGTGAGTGTGTGTGTATATATAGTATATATATATATATTTTTTGCAAAAATTTAAGTTAAATTTGGTCTAAATAATACCATTCTAATAGAATGTTGTTTACAAAGAATTTATAACATGTAGGCTAAATATATTGGAGTTTTTTTTTTACAGATCTTTATGATTATTTTAAATTAAAATTAACTTTGTTACTAATTTACAATACTAGATGAAAGATAGAAAAGATTTTTTGTATATGTATATCTAGATGCTTACATATTATAATCTTATAATAAGAAAATACTAATTACATTATTTTAATTTGCATTCAAATCTAATTAAATATTATGTATATTTTGTTATTATTAAAATTTTAAGATTACATTAGTTGCTATCAATTCTATACTTCAATACATCAAGACTTCCATTAAACTTATTGTCATATTATGTGTCCCTCGATTGAACTGAAGTCTGAGACAACACTTCCGGTCGGACTATATCATTCTATTTCTTTATGAAATTAATCTCCTTTTTTAATAATTTTTGTTTTGTTCCAGTTTGTTTTAATTTTGGTTTCTACATTTTATTGGTCGTCTAGATATATTATAATATCTTTTTCTTGCATATATCTCCAAATATTTTATCATCATGAAATTTCATATTCTTCTTATCTATTTTTGTTTTATTTAAATGATTTTCTGTGTTGTTTTCGTTTCCACTACAATATTTAAGTTTGTCCGATTTGAAATTTTTTTTTTGTTACTGCATTCATAACCATTAAAAACTTCATGACCTAAAAAATGTGTAATATTGTATATATGAATGTAGTTGATCTTACCATTTAGAACTAAATATGGAAATCGAGAATATTAATCTTATTACAAATTTGCCTCTGCATCTATAACTTCATGAAATTCTATCAGATCCTGACGCTTAATTTATTTTTTGTTGTTTCCGGTTCTTCTAATTCCTGTTGCATAAAAGTTGTGCTTTCGGCATTTTCATTTGCGAAAATAATATTAAAAACATTTTCCATGATATCTTCCAATATTTGGCTGCTTCTTATTTTTTGACAATTAATTTCTTTTTAGATGCTTTGAACACTATCTATGCCTTGATTTCTCTTAAACATTTCTACAAAAATTTATTATCTTATCAATTACAACACTGATTTATCGCAGCTCATCAGAAATTATTCAAAACTGTTGATTCTGTCAATGTTTTTGATTTTGTACAAAATTTAAGTATAAGTCATGTACAAATATGGCAATGCCTTCAAGTAATCAAATTTGCAATTTATCGAAATAAATCGATTTTATACTATGAAATATAAATTTTGAGTTACCATAGAGTCACTTTACAGTTCGAATTCAAAAATATGTAAGTCTAAGTTGTTAAAAGGTCTGATAAGATTTTTATTTTATCTTTTCTTTTGATTTTTGATTTTTTTTTTTTTTTTTTTGTAAAATGGAGAAAACAAGTCATTGGCTCTGTGACTACTAGCCCAATATTGAAAAAAGAAAATTAAATAATAAAAAATACGGTATACAATCATATGTAGTACGAAAAGCAAAAACGTAAAAAGAATATTGAATCGTTTATTAGAATATTAATGAACAGTAGGTACATAAAAAAATAAAGGAAAAATTTGGACATGCGCGCCCCGGTAACATTATTCCAAAAAAAAAAAAAAAACAACATTCCAAAACATAAAGTTGTTTATGAATTGAAAAAAATTATAAAAATTTACGATAACGAAAACTTTCACGTACCCAGGCAAAATATGATAAAAAAAATAATCGTAACATTCTCTGGTTACTGTTCGTAAAGAACGGTTGCTGTTCATAAAAGTTCATCAAACAAATAAATTAAATTGGAAAATCGCATACCGTGAGAGTGCCATTACTTAAACTTGAAGAATTATTTTTGCTGTTAGACAATTTTAGATGTTAGAGTTATTTAAGTTTAGAAATGTAAATAATGCAAACCGCATTATCAATTAAATCTCATATAGTTTCTATTAAGAGTTTCATCAATCGATCGAAACTAATTTGATTGTATCGATTTTAAATTCTGTGACATCTTTTTCTTCAAATTAAATGAGAGTTATTTGTGCCATTTCTGTTGTTGGTGGAAGCTAACAATACCTTTTACTTAAATTATAATTTTTTTCATTCTTTCCATTTATATTAAGTCCTTTTATAAATTTTAAAATGATTTTAACGATATTTACAAGTAATTACTCTATATTAAAAATTTATTTTTTTTTTAAATTATATAGGAATTAAAATCAAACAATTTTGTTTTAATTAATAATACATTATTGTTTTATTCTTAAGTTCACGAAATTTTTAATGTACCTATTTACAAACTGAAAAATTCATTGATGAACAAAGTAATATAATAAACTTTGTTTGGTGATTTATAAGCCTTGAATTTTGATCAATATATTTTCTAATGAATTAAGTTTGTTCATCAAATGTTTCCTAAATTAGAAAATTTAATATTTTAAGAAAACATTCATTATCAAAGTATAAAAATTGATTTTTTAAAACAAAAATACAATATTATTTTTAAAAATTTTTCTATAGATTCATTTACAAAGTAATTAAGTCCTTAAAAAATTGGAAAAGCTTCTTTCAATTTTCTTTAAATTGCTCATGCTTGTTACTTTGTGTAAATTTAATCGATTTATTCATTATTTCTTGTTTTGTTTAAATGAATTTCTTGCACCATTGAAAATGAAATAAAGAAAATTTTAATAAGCGAGAATGTTTCATTTAATTCGTAGAATATTTCATTGAAAAAATAATCATTCTGTTTGAATAAATGATTAAAAAAAATTATTTTAATTTTAATAAATATTATATAAATTATAATTGATTTTGGATCAGCTTGATGATTTTAATTTACTTTTATGTCATACTAGGAATACCAAATCCAAAAGTTTGTTTGATACTATTCCAATAATAACGTTTCCAGTTGTTTGTGGTCATATCGACTTCTGAAGATGGAACACCAGTTTGAGTAAGACGAAGTTCTGTATGATCCTCCTGTAAGAAAAAAAAATTAAAGGAACAAAAAATTATTATAATTGAATTTTGAAAAAGTAAAAAACAAACTAAGAAAATTATGCAAAAATTAAATATGCATGTATAAATAGTTAAATAAATGAAAATCACCTTTTCTTCAATATCAATTACGACATCCGAATAATGTCCATCTGGCCATTGTTTTAATCTCCATGTCTGAACTATTTTCACATTCGGAATTAACTCTTTAAAATGACCATGTACATTCCCACCAAAAAGTACAAATCTAAATAATATGAAAACAAATCAAAATTATTGAATAATTTATAAATTTTATATAAATTTACTTACTCTCCTCCCTTAGATGGATTTAATTTCACTTCACTACGAGTAAAAGCGGATACCATTTCAGGTCTTGTTAATACATTATAGATATCATTTGAACGACATTGAAAATCTACTTTTAAATTTAAAGTTTTACAATCTATTTTACAGCCAAAATTGTTATTATCATTTCTGATTATATCAGAGCCACTTTTGAATTTATTGATATCAATTTTTTTATTAAAACCACTTGTAATGGTATTCACACTGTCCGGTTTAACAACTTTTCCGTCTTCTTTTTTTGGCAGTATTAATCCTTTAGAATATTCTTGTTTTAGTTCTTTCAAATAAACTCCGATTTGGTCTCGTATTTTCTGGCGACCCACATTGTACATAAACACTTTCAATTGTTCTGATTCCTGATTCGATTCATTTACACTAATTGTTATCTCTATTTCGTCTAAATCATTTTCTTCAGACAAGTTTGGTATAGACGCTTTCCCTTTATGTACTTCATTGCAACCTGACAATTTTCCAGACCATAAAAGTACAATATTCCATTCATAAAAAAATATTAGTTTTCCTTTACGATTATTGGCTGTTGCCTCACCGTTGCATGTATCAACCTCTATAGTAACCTCACAGTTAGATTCAGCTGAAACAAGAAAAAAAAAATTTAATGAAGTTGAAGTCATTTAGAATACTAGTTAACGTAAAGCATATGAGGTAGTATTAAAATTATTACTGCTTCAAAAATATCTATGTATTTTTTTCAATAATCATAGTTTGAGTTCGCACATAATTCGTATTCAAAAAAACATATACATAAGTTAATTTGAATAGAAATTATTCGTTTTGTCAAATAAGCACGTTTTAAAACCATCTGTTTTACATCCCGGCGCAACACTTACCAATTTTATAATTCGTGAAAAGTGATTTTAACCTATCTTTTGACCACGGTGTTGCATTTTTTTCTGTCCAATGCCAATTATTCACATTTGTAGCATCAGGCCGTTCTTCTACTATCCATCTTGGGTCACCTTCTCCCCATTTTGCCATTTTTTCTAAATTTTTATTGAAATTTTACTATTCTGTAAGAATATGAATACCGAAGGTCTTTTTTTATTTGTTACGTAAATTACTGTAGCCTCAAATTCGTTGAATAATAACCTTGTAGTTTAAGATTTTTCTTTCTAATTAATAAATTTTATTTTTATTCTAAAAACGCTATTTTTTTTTATTTTTTTTATTCAGATAAAATTTAAAGGACACACTACTTTACTTGTAAAAAAAAAAACTTATGAACATGTCATCACAAATGACATTTGTGATAGGATTTACCAGAATATTCGAGAAAATATTGAAATATTACAACTTTTTCGAAATTGTGCAAATATGCATAGGGCGACATCTCTTGAGTGATATATTATTATTTTAGTTGGTATACACATCTTTAAATTTTATATTATAAATTCAGCGTTATTTATTTTTTGGCATAAAGTATGAGATATATCAGATATTCTCAGTTTTTCCTAGATTTAATTTTACATTTTGTGGTGTATGTAAAAGTTACCTAAGATTTTTCGAATATATAAACAGTACTAAAAAGAAAAACAGTCTGAATTCGAATTTCGAAAGTTTGCTGGGACAAAAACTGAAACATGACGTTTGAATTGATTGATTGATTTTCGGTTTATATTTTATAGGTTTTTGTTTTTTGTCTCTAAAATTTAAGTAAAAAATTTAAAAAAAAGTTTACATAAACGATTAATAATGAAAAATATTCATTTGAAAAAATAAAAGAATAAGTCGTAATAAATACTGTAAGAAAAATTATTAAATTAGAAAAGTATGGCAAATATTTGCATAATTTGTTCCAGTCCAGGTTTGTATAAAAAATTCCATATAAAAATTGAAATGTTAAAAAAACATAAAAATAGGTACATATATTGAGTCTATGTCTATGTTTTTTTTAATAATTAATTCTTTCCCAAGATATATATATATATAAACATAAACACATATGTATGTTCTCGAGATTCATGCCAAATTTTAACAAAATTTTTAAATATTGATAATTACACACGTATCTCATTTAAATTGTGTAAAAAATGTTTATCTAATTATATTTTTCATTATTTTAGGTGATTATGACATATTTGCACCCATTCCGGCTTATTTACATGCAAGTCCAAATGAATTTTTACTTTGGCCCAAAGATATATCAAAAATGATGGAAGAAACAACTGGTTTAGTAATTACAATAGATGATAAATTATTACCTAGAAAAATATGTGCTTTATGTATATCATATTTAAAACATGCAGCAACATTCCGGCAACAAGCTATAGATAATATATTAAATTTAAAAGCTGCACAATTATTAAAAATTCCTGATAAACATTCTATAGACGGAAGCAATAATATTATGATAAAAGAAGATCAATTAAATTTTAGTGAAACACGATGCTCCGAATTAAAAAATATTTTAGCTAGTAAGCCAAAAACAAGTAAATGCGATGAATACTTAAAAAAGAATTTTGAAAATTCACCTAATAATAGACGAAAACCTAATTTAATGAATGATGACGAAAATGAAAAAATCGAAAATAATATTGATAAATCTAGCAATAGCAATATTCATTTAAATACATATTTAAATTTATTATTTGATAAAGATACAAATAAAACTGCCAATAATAGGCGGAAATTTCATTATATAAATCGCCACAAGATGAATAGTGGTGATATTAATGAAATCAATCAAATTGACTTGGAAGATTACGACATTTTAACTGGATCAAGCGATGAAAATGATATTGCTGATTATAAAAAGACGAATTTCTTTAATTATAAGGAGAAAAATTTCGAAGAAGATGATATTTTAAATGACATTTTGAAAGACGCGAATATTATTATTAATATACCAGAAATACATAAAGAAAGAAAATGCCCAGCTTGTTGTAAACGTTTTATGTTTGAAGATTCATATGATGAACATACAGCCATGTGCATTGAATTTCAATTATTAAGTTTAATCGAAGATGTCAATAGACTATTAATAATTCGTAGGAAAAAGACTCTTTCTCCACATGAATTTGTTCGTCGAATGATATTTAGTTTGAAAAAAATAGCAGATTGGTTAAGATCTCATGGTGAAAATATTAACATTCCATCACAATCTGATGTTAAGAAAATTAGTAAAAAAACAAATAAAAAGAAAGAAGATGAAACCGAGGCAATTATTGAAAATTTCAATGTATTAAAGGCAAGCAGTCTTGAAAATTCAAAAGTTAATTCTTCCATAACAAAATGTAATCAACAAAACAATGAAAACGCAACATTGGAAATATTAAATAATTCGAATTATGAAAATAAAATTAGAATAGGTACTCCCGATAAAAAGCACAACCCTAAGAAGCAACCTGAAAATACTTTTCAAGTAATTAAACAAAATTCAGACAAAAAATCATCATCGAGTTTAAGTGCGTTATGCACACCGTCTCCCCCCAATATTCAAAAGCGTAATAACAATTCAAATAAAAATCATAAAAATGGTAATAATTTCAATACTGTTCTTTTAACTCCAGTTGGACATTTAACTACAACAGCAAACTATACGGCTAGTCCATCACCAAAAATCAATTTTTCTGCTAGATGTAGTATTTGCAGTGTTGTTTTCGAAGCAATAGCTGATTTAGAAGATCATAATGCAAAATTCCATAATTATCAACAATCTGTAGAAAAAGAAGAACATAAAAAAATAATCGCTTTGTTTGAAGATGAATGAAAATTAATTTTAATAATTAAAATCGCGAAATTCGAAATTTATTTCTGGTTCTTTTTAAGTTATATTTTATTAAAGTTTTGGAATATTTAATAGCATATTGTAAATTTTTAAAAATTGACAAATATTTTAAGATTTTTTTATTTCTATATAAAAAAAAAAACGAAAGTTTAAATATTTTGGATGTGATTTACGAATTCTTATAGAAAAAACTGAAGTTTAATAGTTTTAATATTTTATATGAATTCACGTTTTGTTAAAAAAAAAAATAATAGATTTTCTACTTAGTAAATAAATGGCCAATTTAATTGCATTAAGTTATTAAGTATTATTTTAAAATTACATATATCATGTTTTATTTAAGTATAAGCTCATCCATATACATATGTACGTATGTAAAATGTGTAAAATATAAAAATCATTTTTTATTCTTAAAATAATTTTAAAATTAATTGAAACAATAACGTTACATAAACTTTAACAAGCTCCTTCATTTAGGGATATACTTTAAAAATTTCAATTCGTGCGTTAACCATATAGCAAGGGACAGTAGAACCAAAGAACCAGATTGATGACATGCAGCAATTGAAACTGGAACATAAGTTAATAATGTTGTAATACCTAATGCTACCTGGGTCCAACCCATTAAAGCGACAGCATTTGCGGCCCAATAAGCTCTTTTGGGCAAAATTCTTCTTCTAGATAATAGCCATAATCCTGAAATCAATGCCAAAGTAGTTGTTCCTAATATTCGATGATCGAATTGTACCGTTGTTGGATTTTCGGTAAAATTACATAATGTAGGAGAATAAGCTAAAAGATCTGATGGTATCCAACGATCGGCCATTTTTGGAAATGAATTATAAACTAAACCAGCATCTAAGCCTGCTACAAATGCCCCTGAGAATGCCGTTAAAAATATCATTCCTTTTGTTAAATGTGCTAATCGACGAAAATTTATTCCGCTTTTGGTGATATTTTGTATTTTTTCAGCTGGTAATAAATGACTCAAAGAAGACCATAAAAATAGTGAATATAAAACAAAAGCAAATGTTAAATGAGATGCCAATCGGTATTGTGAAACTCTTGGAACATCATTTTCACCATGAAATCTATCTTCCAAACCAGATTTAACCATATACCATCCCATAAGACCTTGTAATCCAATAAGTAAGCCAAAGCCTAATACTCTAAATTTCATTGCCTTGTCAAAATATCCCTTGTACCAAAAATAAGCTGCTGGCAAAGCATAAAATGCTCCTATAAGACGGCCCCACATTCTATGTCCATATTCCATGTAATATATCATTTTAAATTCCTCCAGTGTCATATTAGCATTCTTCCTAAAATCAAAATTGATTTTTCCTTAATATCAAGATACAAAAAAATTTGATATTGAATTATTTAATTACAGCTTATATTCTGGGTACTGCTTATAATTTTCAAATTCTGCAACCCACTCTTCGTGATTTCGTGGACGTTGCTCACCTAATAATTTCCAGTTAACCATAGATAATCCTGATTCGGTTAGTCGGGTAACTCCACCTGACAAAAAATAAAACAGACAGTGAAATGGTAGTATTTTTTTAGTAATTAACATCTAAGCTCCTTTAGTTATATTTTCTATAACAATTTCTATTACATACATTACAATAAATAAAAGAGAAAAATAGCTTATTGTCGCACCTAAAATAACTGCAACAAACACCATTCCACTACATCCCACCAGCCACCCTCCAACCAATTTTCTCCCTTTACTTGATATTTCGCCGCTCATACATCTCTTGACTGCAAATCCAATTGACGTTGCCTTCAAATTTGGAGCTAATAGCGATTTGGAAATCTAAAATATTTTGGATTTCATAATAATTGAAATTGCACCGGTTACTTTTTGTACCTTTTTGGAATTTACAATCCTCTCCGAAAACAAACTTCTTTTAGTGAAATGAGAATTATTTATGTAATTTTTGGAAAATGTAGAAGATGAAAAGCGTAATGTTGGGCATAATCTACAAAGTGATATCATTTTTTTTTTGAGCTTATTTTTTATTACACACTAAAGTCAACAAATGCAAAATAACGCAAGTAGAATGCAAAAATTGAAATAATTGCTATCAATTGCAATTCTTAAAAACTACTAAAGATTTAAAGGAAAAAAGTTGACATTCTATCGTCAGTTTCGAAATTCTATTGTGAATTTGTTTTATATAGCGATTTTTGTCGCGCTAAGCAGTATTTCTATAGTAACTTTTGTAGTAACTGGTAAACGTCACATTAGTGGCAAACTTAAGTTTATTTGTTTCTGATTTTTGAGCTTCTGAGTTCTGACTAATAAACCCACAGTGAATAGTTGAGGTTAAAATTGTTTCTGAGCATATTTATTCATTCTTAAAATTTATAAAAATCTGTGTTAAAAAATGGCTTTATCGGTACCAAGAGCCCCCGGGTTACCCCAAATGATGAAGGAAGGAGCACGGGTATGAAAAAATTATTGGTTTATTCATATTTTTCATGACATTACAATTTATTTGCAGTCACGAGCAAATGTGACTAAAATTTTATATGAATGTTATTAAAGTTTTCCAAATGTTCTTTAATGTAGATGTACTCCGGTTTAGAGGAGGCTGTCTACAGAAATATTACAGCATGTAAAGAATTTTCTCAAACAGTACTTTCGGCATATGGTCCTAATGGGATGAATAAAATGGTAATAAATCATATTGAAAAACAATTTGTTACTTCAGACGCTGGAACTATTATGCGTGAATTGGATGTAGAACATCCAGCTGCTAAATTGATGGTAATGGGTAGTCATATGCAAGAAGCTGAAGTTGGTGATGGCACTAATTTTGTTGTAATATTTGCGGGAGCTCTTCTTGATGGTGCTGAAGAACTTCTTAGGTTAGGTGTAACAGCGAGTGAAATCGCTGAAGGATATGAAATTGCTTTACAGAAAGCTATAGAAATTTTGCCTTCGTTAGTTTGCCATGAAATAAAAGATTATCGAAATCTCGAAAAGGTTGAGGAGTGCATTCGTCCTTCAGTTATGTCTAAACAATATGGACAGGAAGATTTTTTGGCTAATTTAATTGCCAATGCTTGTGTATCTGTACTACCAGAAAAATCAACTTTTAATGTAGATAACATTCGTGTTTGTAAAATTTTGGGAAGTGGATTAATGGAATCAAAAGTTCTTAAAGGCATGGTATTTAAGAGACAAGTTGAAGGCGATGTTATTTCTGCAGAAAAAGCTAAAATTGCTATGTATTCTTGTCCGGTTGATATTATACAAACCGAAACCAAAGGTACAGTTTTAATCAAATCAGCTGATGAACTAATGAATTTTAGTCGAGGTGAGGAAGGTCTCTTAGAACAACAAATTAAAAGTATTGCAGATACAGGAGCAAAAGTTATTGTTGCCGGTGGAAAATTTGGTGATATGGCTTTGCATTTCATGAATAAGTATGGCTTAATGGCAGTTCGCTTGAATTCAAAGTTCGATTTAAGACGGTTAAGTAAAACTGTAGGAGCAACAGTATTACCGCGTTTAACTGCTCCAAGTTCGGAAGAACTTGGCTATTGCGATAATATCTGCGTTCAAGAACTTGGTGAAACTGCAGTTATTTCATTTTCAAATGAGGGTGCTGACTGTAAGATTTCAACAATAGTTATTCGTGGCGCCACTGATAATTTTATGGATGATATTGAAAGAGCTATAGATGATGGTGTTAACACCTTTAAGTGTCTATCAAGAGATGGAAGGTTAATAGTTTTTTAAATTTTAAGCTTACATTATATGCTCCTACATCAGTATTATTTTGTATTTTAGATTTTTGCCAGGGGCAGGTGCTGTTGAAATAGAATTGGCACAAAAACTTTCAGAATATGCTGACCAATTTCCAGGTTTAGCTCAATATTCCATAAGGAAATTTGCTAATGCTCTAGAAGTATTTCCAAAATGTTTAGCAGAAAACAGTGGAATAAATGGAACTGAAGTTGTTCATAAATTACATTTGGCGCATAAGGATGGTGGTAAAAATATTGGAGTTGATATAGAAGCGGAGCAACCTGAAACAATTGATGTAACATCAACTAAAATTTATGATTTGTATGCATTGAAACATTGGGGCCTAAAATATGCAGTGGGTGCTGCTGCCACAATTTTAAAGGTAGATCAAATAATTATGGCTAAGAGAGCCGGTGGCCCTAAAGCACGTCAACCTGCAGGTAGTGATGATGAATCATAGAATGGAGAAAATTTTTTTCTAAAATTAATTTGCTATATATTCACGTCATTTTAAGTTCGTCTATAAAAAAAAAGAAACACTTTTAATTTTTAACCGTACGTTTCTCAACTTCATTAATCTTACATTACACTAAATAAAAAAAAATATTAACAAAAACTTGAATATTTTTAATTTTTTAATAAATTTGCAGTTAAACAAAAATTTGGGAGAAATTAAGCAAAGATTCCTAGTGGAAAAACCAGCTTGCTCTTGAATGCATTGCACTTAGTATGACCTAATTTTTTATTCAATGGAAAATTTCTGATTCACTTTGAATATAATACACAAATTCAAACTGATGTTTTAAGCATTAGATTAGTAGGTATTTTTATCTACTTACTACATTTAATCAATGAGATTACCAACCCCGGCTGACAGAAATGTAGGATATAATTATGTGAAAGATACCTGCCTATGCAATAACTTCATAAAATTTCATTTGATTAATTTTCCTTCCACTAATTATTATTAAATTAAAAACATTTTTAATGTGCACTGTGATAAATTTAGCAATATTTATTTCAATGAAATGGTAATTCAATTTCCACAAAAGTTGAACATTTTACAAAGACAAAATTAATCTAAATTTCAAAAAACATGAAATTTTTGTTTCAAATTATTTTTTTTTTTTCATTTTCCATTTGTGCTTCTACTTATTTGGAATATTATTTTAAGGAATAGATGCGTTGCAATATGCTTGCATTCAAATACTTGTGGGTGAATAACATAAATAATTCAATATTAAAGTTTTGTTTCTTTTTTTAACATTTTATAATGGTCTTATTTTTATGAAAAAAATCAATAAATTATAAAACTGTGCAGGAACTTTTCTCACGGAATGGATTGACTTTTTGACTGGAAAATCCAACCAAAAGATAATCTTCTTGTTCATGTTCAGCAATATATTTGAGCATTTTTGCACAAGATTCTGAAATTGGTTGCCGTTCAATGGCTGCCTCACGCCTCAGTTGTTCAACATTTGCTCTTTGTTGTTGCATATTCGATAAAACATCCATATTTTTGTTTTATTTTGGGTCTTCTTTTCTTTTTTTTTTGTTGAATAAATTAAATTTGAGCAAATTTAAAAAAAAAACTACTTGTTTTCAGTTCTTAAATTCTTGAAAAATAGTTAACACACCCTTATATTAACAATTCTTTGATTTAAACTTTATAATGTGTCAATTTCTTCCTTTCTTTTCAACACAATAATTGGAAACGAAATAGAAATTATTTGACATCTAGTTTTAATTTTAAAATGATATTCCCAATAAACAATATTTAAAAAAATAAAGGAAAACAAATGGAATTTATTCAACAGATGTTATTTTTGTTAAAAAAAAAAATTTCGCTCACTTAATTCGCTTAAAGGCATACGGAATTTAGCGAAAAAGAAAATCCTGGAAAATCAATAAATCTGGAGGGAAAATTCATTGACAAGTTTAGTAATCAGAATTTTTCAATTGACTCAGCAGGTGAAAAAGGTCATTCGGATTCGAAACAAAACAATAATAATAAAATAATTATATTTTCATACCTAATAAATAAAATATTGGAATTATTTTAAAAAAATACTAAGCAATCGAATTTTCAACACAATTTTAATGCTATAAATAAATTTTATATTTTAAATAACAAAATATATGTACATATTTCATATATTTTATATTAATATATCACATATTTATATACACATTACGTTAAAAAACGAATAAAAAAAGAACTGAGCTATAGAAAATAAAACAACAAACAAAAGGAAATAATTACATCGATAAAGTTTATTAACTTTAAAATAAAATAAAAATAAATTTTCCTCTCAAAGTAATATAAAAAAAGACGGCAAAATAGGACTATCGGAGACTGCAGTAATGGATATAATGGCAGCAAATTTGCAACAGCAAAGGTAATATACACATATGTATATAAAACAAAAACATTCTTAAAACCGTTTATAATTGAATTTCAATTAAAGATAATTCATGCTGGAATATAAATTGCTGGAATATTTTACTAAAATTTATTTTATAAATTATGTACCCAAAGGCTATAGATACACATGCTTCCTTTACGGAATATCAATGTATATGCGTACATATGTACAATGAAATACAATATTAATGACACGTATTTATCTTTTGGACCTACAGATCTATATAAATTATATTAGCATATACAAACATACATATGTATGTATAAATAATCATTTACTAGGTCACAAATTATGGATACCGGAATTTAAAGTAAAGAATTTTGAATACCAAAATCTCAAACAGAAAAATTTCACATAGAAAATCATGTGTATTTAGAAATTCGAGACAATAAATTTGAAAACTGCAACTTTATAGCTTTTTAAAACTTTATTTACGTTTTTTGTCGGCTAAAAATATTTGCATAATGAGAGTGATTTTCGTTACTTAAATTTGTTTGTTTATTTACGTCTTAATTGTTGTTTTTAAAATGATGCTGTCAAAAGTGGCATAATTGCAAAGTACCTATAATTTATTTTTATATGAGAAGAAAGTGTTCGTTTTTAATTACATTAAACGTCATCTCTATATCAACTGTCGCTTTTGGTTGTTTTCTGAAACGCATAAGTGCATAAGTGCAAATTTTTCTGTTGTAACGAAAACTGTTATATTTATGTCAAGTAATTGTTAACGATTTCATCGTTATGATATCATGATTACACCAATGTAATCATTAACATCTTTTACGGAAACTTAAGAATTATAATATGAAAAAATTTGTGAGTTTCGTGTTACTAAATCAAAAAAACAAAAATTATCAAGCTATTTAAAATAATATTTTGAGAAAATTTTAAATAATTTGTACAAGTTATACAAGTTCAAAAAAAAAAAAATCAAATTTATGCGGTGCAAATTCATAACGCTAATCGATTCCGAAAAAAAAAATAATAAAAAATTAAAATTCATTTCCAAATGTACAAAAAAAATTTTGAATGGAACACACTGTGTTTATTTTACGTAATTTATCTTGGAGAAAACAAATTTTTGTTTATATTTCTTCTTCTAATGGAAATACTTCTCTAATATTTATTTTTCAATCTATTTTTGGAATTTAATTAAATTGTTTTTTTTTTTTTTTGATTCTTATAAATGTATATTTACATAAAAATTATAATGAATTATTCAAAAATTGTTAAATTAGTAAATATATAATGTTGCTATGTTCATTTTATATAAAATGAAATTTTTTTTCTGATTTATAACAGGGCGATTGTGGAACAGCTTAGAAGAGAGGCTGGTATTTCAAGATTACCAGTTTCGGAAGCATGTAGCGTAATGATGAAATATATATCGGAACATGAAAATGATGATTGTCTTTTGAATGGGTAATAATAATATTAAAAAAATACTTATATATTACTTTTAAAATTATTTTAATTATATTTTTTTTTTAGTTTTTCAAGTCAAAAGGTGAATCCATTCCGAGAAAAAAGTACATGTCAAATACTTTAAATTTAATAATTTTTCTGAAAATTTGAACGGAAATGCATATTGAAAATTGCAGTCTGTCCATTTTCCACAAAAAAAAAAAAATTAAACAATTTATATTTATAAAATTATACTTTTTAGTTTTAATTTTTAAAAAAAAAAATTCTTAAGCTTAAAATTTTAAATTGTATATTTGGAAAATTTTTAATGAAATTAAAATTCTGATATAGCAAAAATAATTGTAGCAATATAAAATTAAAGAAAAAAAAAACATTAAAGAATTTAATTAAAAAAAAATTTTTTAATTAAATTTTATTAATGACGTAAAAGCAAAATTTATTTAAAAGCAATTTTTAATTATAAAAAATATTATTTTTCTTTTTAACACGCTTACAATTATAATTGCATATATTTATTGGTTAAATGTTAATTTCTCACACATTTTGTAATTTGTTAAATTTAAGTAAAAATTTGAAAATAATTAAAAATTATAAAAATTTTGTAAAATATCATACATGATCATTTGAACTTGTTAAAGTTATTGCATTTAATTTTCTCTTTTAATTTTAAGTTATAATAAAAATTTATTAACAATTTAGTATAAAATAATATTTTAAAATGTATTTGAAAAAAACGAGTATATCAAAAATATACGTACGTAATTTTTTAATTATAAGATGTTACAAAAGCAATTAATATTTACTATATTTATACTTCTGTAAATGTCTATTATTTATAGTAATATATAGTTAATAATTATTTAATTTAATAATAACAATAAAATTCATATAATATTTTCAATATAATTTATTGATGAATGAGCAAATATGAAAATTTCAGCAAATATGAAAATTAAATATCTACAATTTTTTTTTTTTATTTAATTTTCATATTTTGATAATTTTCTATTATTAGTTTTATTTTGTATTTTGTTTGTATTAACTATATTATTAAATGTGTTCTAATTTGTGAAACAATAATTTTAATTTAAATAAAATATAAAAATATTAAATGTATTTGCAACCAAAAAAATAAAAAAAAAATACAAAATTAGTTACTATTGTAATAATATCTTTTTGATGTAATAAATAAATAACAAAGCTCTAAAACAAAAATATACAAAACTACAAAAAAAAAAACTAAAGATATTATATAGCCTACAAAACATACATATATAGTAGTCATACAAAACATATGGAACTGAAATTTTTTTCTAAAAGCTTATATACAAGTATTAAATAATAAAATTAAAATGAAAATATTGTACTAATTATAATTAAATAAAAATAGAGAAAATTACCAATCAGTTACTTATAAAAGAAAAAAAAAATAATTTTAAAAACATATATTAAAAAAAAATTGAAAACTTGAAACAATCAATTAAAAACCACCTATAATACTTTAATAGTATTATTACAATATTAATTTTTTTATTATAAATTATAAAATTCTAAAATAAATTGTTATTTTTCTTATTAATAATTTTATGTTGTATATAATATATGTATCTGTTATTCTATATAATCATTTATTTCATGTTATTCAATCATCTTAGAATATATGCATAATATATATATATATATATATATATATATATATATATACATATATATACATAAAAATTTCATTAATAATATTTCTAAAAATTTGTAAATTATGATTTGCCTTATCTTATTCTAAATAAATTTTTTTCTTTTGTTTAGAAAAATATTTGTAGCAAAAAAAAAACAAAAAAATTAGTATAAAAATTTGTAGAAAAAATGATGAAATCTAATATAATATATTCTATTCATATATATATATAAATATACACGAATATATATGTATATATATATATATATATTTACATTAAATAGATGCATAACATATTATATAAAGCCAATATATAAGCTATTATTGAAGATGCCTTTAATGGTATATATATATTATATCTATTTAAATCTAAATCAAATTCTGAATCTTCCTATTTATATAATATAATATATTTAAAAATAATTAATATTTATGTATATGTATTAATTTAACATAATATTATATTATTATATATATATATAATATGTTTACAATTAAATTATTTTGTTTGATTAATGCATTTAAATAATATTCACAATTCATATAATAAAATTATTAATATATTCTAAAAGAGGCATCATTTAAAGAATCAGGATCTTATATTTTTAAAATTTTGAGATTTACTGTAGTTATATAAAATCTCAAATTTTAAATAAATGCAATTTGAAATTAATAAGAAATTTTTGAAAAACATTAAAATTAACAAGTTATACTCATACCAGAAGTTATGCTTCTTTTAGAATATGAGCAAATACTCGTATAAAAGCAGTAGAGTGTCTCTATAAGTTTAAATCTCGAATAAATTTTTGGAGCTGAAAATAAATCCAACTCAAATATAATATTCATAGAATTTTTTTTCTAAACTTACCGATACGATGTAATAGCACAACCGTCCGGTTGACTAAAATGCAACCAAAGTCAATAGCATACACCTACGAGCTTGTTGAAAATTTCAATCAATTTATTTAATAGTAACCGGAATTTAATTTATAATTTATACATAAGTTATATCACTGTCCTGGTTAGTATACTAACTATATATTATAGGGTAAGTGGTATTGTATACAATATAATTTTTTAATTTTTAAATTTTCGTTTGTTTCATGAATTTATTAATTTACTTAGAACAAGTTTTGGTTTTGGTTTTTTTAATTTTATTTTTTAGAATTTTTCAATGTGTGTCTTATGTGAAAAACAAAAATTCCGTTTTCACAACTGTTAAAAATTAGCAATATTATATTCTTATAGCTTTGCGAGTTTTTAACTTATAGAAACTCTATAGAACTTACATTATATACATACATAAATAAAAATATCATCGTATATTATACATTATATTGTAATTATTAATTTTAAGAGTATAATGTCAATCTTTTTAAAATTGTAGATGATTTAAGATTAAATATCTTATTGTTATTTATAACAATGTATGTACGTAATAATTTCAAAAAAAAAAAATTTAATTATTTTATTTAATTTGGAAAATTCAATTACTCAATATAGTATTCAATAATAAAGCATATATTCCTAAAATTTTACTCATATCAATATAGGATACGTAAAATTTTACGTATATAAAATTGTAATTGAAAATAGTTGAAAGTGTTTTAGGATTCGATAAAAAATTTCTAGTAGTAGACACTAAGGGGTTTTCGTTTATTCAGTTCAGTTCAGCTTTTTCTAGTTCTAGCTTATAGTACGTTCGAAAATTCACATTACATACACGGAAAAAATAAATCGTTCGGAAATTACTATGGTTGGAATAAAATGTGTTCGGAAAATTAATCTGTAATAAAGAAATGTTAAAAATGTAGCGCTGACCTGTATTTTAAATTTGGTCGCTGCTTGATGAAATTTCTTTTTCAAAAAAAAAATTTAAAATTCAAAATGGTATATTTAGATATTGAAGGATTATTAAAGTAAGTTTTATTTAAGTCTTTAAATCTTGTTAAAATTTCCTTATTTTGAAATGTCATTTCTGTTATTTTCGAACGACTGATTATTTAAAAGTTTCAGAATTTGTAGACTGTATTAACAAAAAAAAAAAAATTAGTTAAAGTTTTTGCATAATGTTTAACGCTACGACTTAGAAATTTTAATTCTAATGTAGAACTTTCAGCATTGCGTGCATAAACGAAAACCACCCTAATATTTTTTCAACTCCTACAGAACCTGTTACATTTTTGTGATGAAAATGATTTGTGATTGTGATGATGATTTTGTTTTTTCCTCTAAAATATTTAATTATCGTTAACATTTTATAATCGGAACTTATACGGGACTTAAAAACTATTTTTAATATAAAAATTTAATTTATGATCCGAATTGAGTTCTTGGGGGGTGCATATATATGTCCTAAATTCTTATTAAAAATTTTAAGTTTCAATATGCTTTATTATTGAATATAATTTGTAGTAAAAAATTATTATTATTAAAATATAAAATAAACTACAAAAATTGAAAGTAATTTAAAATATCTTATTAAAAAAAAAATAATGAAAATACATAAGAGAATGTATTTGAAAACAAACAACTTGCAAAATGGTATTTTTGAAATTTACAAAACTATATTTAGGTATATATAAATATATATACATTGTGTCTAGAAAAAATAGTAAAATAGAAAAAAAAAAATTAAAACTAAAAAGGTAAAAAAAACTTTGAATGTCTGACTAATGATATTTATTAATATATATATATATATATATATATATATATATATAAATACATACAAAATATTTACAAACTGCAATTTAAAAAATAATAAAAAAAAAAAATGTCTCTAAAAATTATAATATGCGTTTTTTTTATTTTATCAATTATTTTCTCAAAATATTTGATAATTAAATAGGGTCTTAGTCTGAGACTTATTTAAAGTTTTCGAAAACAAATTAAAAAAATGTTAATTATTTGATTTATTTATGATAAATTTGGCAATTTATGGCAATTTTCAAGATCACATTCAATTTAGCAAAAAAAAAAAACCTTAATTTACTATAGGGTTCTTCAATTTTATATTTTGGTTGTAAATTTATTTAGTTTTGAATTCGTTTTATACAGGGCAGTAGAAAAAAAAATTTTGGAAAGCACTTCAATCTAGCGCTATATTACAACTAAAGTTTTTTTTTAAAAATATACTTCCTATTCCATGTTAAATTAATCCTATATACCGTAATGAAAGGCGACAAAAAATTTAAAATATTATTTGACAATTATAGATTGTAGATTTGTACAACTATGGAATGTAAGTGCACTACGACCGCTTATAAGAATATATTGTACACCCTCTGAGTTCAGGTAATGCCGCCTTCGAGGCCTGCCCTCTTGTCCAGCAGAGGTCTTCTCATCCTCCTCACAGAATCTTTAAATGTCTACATTTTCCAGGCCGGACCTAATGGAAGTGTTCTCAGAATCAGCAGTGTCTCGACAAGGGCTTCGTGAGAATTCTTACCTAATTCTTGCCCAACCCTATAATCTTCTTAAATATACCGTAGTCAATAATATTTTCATTATAGGATTTAATGCTCTTATATACCCACTTGTATTATAATTTTCGTTACAGAAAGAATATACATATACTCGTATATAATTGATTTACGGTCATTTCTACTCAATCAAAAGCATAATGGTATATTTTGATATGGGAAAATTTCCAAAATTTCTAAAATAGGGTCACATAGACGTTAACAAATAAGTTATATATATAAGTAAAAAATTTAATTCGT